TAGGGACGGCTAGCGCAGATAGCCCTCGTGTAGCTGTGCGCGAAATTCAAAACAAACCCATCCTATAGTACATGTCACGAAGGGTATTAAGCATTCTTCACATGCTAAATAACTTTAAAATAACTAAAACTGCTTCAAATTATATAAGTTAGTTCCATTAGCACTTAAAAGATAGAACCAGTAGATATCTTTAATGGTCGCGCTAAGAAATATCAACTCCAAAATCTTCGCCTATAATTTGTTTGTTTGTAGTTAAGCACGAAGCTACACAATTGGCTATTTGTGCTTTGCTCACCACGGGTATCGAAATCCAGTTTATAGCAGTATAAGTCTGCAGACATATCGCTGTTTCACTGAGGGCTCTCGCCTATGAAGTAACACGTAAGTGTTCCGAAATTTTGTCTAGTTATCTTTTAGCAACTTCTTTCTTAAAATCTTAGCGATTCCTAAGTAATAAGTGTACGTACGTATCCGGGGTTCGATTCCCCTAGTGGATATCGTCTAGATATCCTATTGCGTAGCTTTGAAAAATGAAAACAACAACATCAATCTTGACTGCTACTTGTCAAATATGTCTCACGGACAACAGAAAAACTTTAACGTAACTTAAGCACTCTGTGTACGAGCTATGACTTGTTTATTTCCATCAAGAAAGACAAAATATGTTGAAAAAACATACAATATATTCTTCGAAATTAAATCTTGAATGTGACCTCAATTTTTTTTATATTTATTTATTTATTTTACAAAATTATATAATATTTACTTAGTTCCTCCGAGATGGCGTATTAAACCCTCTGACCTTAGTGTTGTGGTGGGAAGAAGCGTCACCTTACACTGCCAAGCCGAAGGATATCCTCAACCCCAGATTGTATGGGAAAGAAAAGCAGGTGGGCATTGTAAAGAAGTGATATCATTAATAGCTGAAAAATAATATTGTTTGTTAGATTTTTGTTTTCTTAAAGACGTGTATTAGAGGTTACAGTGTGCAACATGACGAATACTTTTCAGTGCTTATAGTTTATTGTACTTCTAGATATATTATAAATTAAATTTTTGTTAGAACGTTGTTTTATAGATGTCTCTACGCTCGAGTTATGGAAGTAAAAACATTTATATATATATTATAGGATGTTTTCGTCGTCTGAAATGTTAATAACCTGCTAAAAATAATTAAATAAATAAGACTACAGACTGAAAAAAAAAGATAATCCCACGTTCTGACAGACATCAGATTTGGAGAGTATAGCGTACGAAATGTTCTTATTTATTTTGCCCGAATTATAATTATAATTTTCTAGACATTCAACTTGTTTCTCTGGTTTTTCTTAGGATCAAAAGTAAACGGCTATCAGCATATTAGTACAAGTTACCATCACCAGGTCTTCGAAAACGGATCATTAACGATAGAGGGCGTCACCGAACAAGATGCAGGGCTATACTTGTGTCAGGCAACGAATGGAATTGGACCGGAATTGAGCACGGTGGTTAACCTTAGTGTACACTGTAAGTTCTCAAAAACATTGACAAAACACTTTCCTTGTGTATATTTTCACGACAGTTGTCAAATTTTAAAATATTTTAAAGCAAGATTTACGAAAAGTTTATCTGTGTGTATAAGTTAAGCATTGTTGCTACCACATGCGAAAACCTTTAGTATTCTTTAGATGTTCACATTTGTTTGTATCTTGGGTTTCTCTAATTGTTAAGAAGAAAGCTCATTGTTTGAAATTTTTAAAGGTTCACTATTGTTGCTTCAGGCACACTGTATAGTTGAAACGAACCAATAAAAATTTTATTTAACTGATCAATGAACTTTAACTAAATATTCCAGTTTTGGTATCCGAAGTTTAGTCACTATCTAAACCAATCATATCATGAGTTGTTCTAATACCGTTCTTTACCGGTGGGGGCCATATATTACACCATACTGAGTAAGTTTATGTTTATTTCTGTTACAGCGCCCCCCCTCTGTGGTTTTTAGTGCTAAGTCTTATAACACTAAAAACCGGGTTTTGATACCTGCAGATAGCCAAACGTATAACTTTGTGCTTATCAACAAACGGACATGTTACAACACTCGATGTAAAGAACTGGCTAACAGAATTGCGTGGAATCATTAATTTTCTATGTATACAAGAAATCCAAGCAACAATTAGTGGGATCAATTACAATATTCACTGTTATTATTATTATTAGGTTTTTGTTTTGTTTTTGTGACTCGTGTGCTATTAAATCAATAATGTAAACAATAAATTCATGGACCCACAACTAATTAGTGCATAAACAATTTAGAAAATAAAATTGTTTAAAAAGACGTATTCTATCTGTAATATTGAATTATTTCTAACTTGACTTTTCTTTTGATATTGTTTATATAAATTAATTGTTTAATATTGTATTGAGGAATTAATTTTTTTTTTTCTTTCAGTTGCACCACAGTTTCACACCAAATTTCGAACTCAAATGGCACAGAAAGGAGAATCTTTTGTCATAAACTGTCATGTGACAGGTGATCTGCCAATATTTATTGATTGGTTACGTGATCAACATCCTTTGGACGTGGATCTAGAATCAAGGTTGGAATTATGAGTTACATTAACAAAAACCTTCTAGGTGTGTTTCCTGATTTAAAAAAAAGTTCAATTTGATTACGACAATAGCATTTTACACCACTGCATTGGCAAGTTGGAAGTAGGCCTAACGTGTAATAAACCTAGTCTTTGCTCGTTACATTATAAAGAATAAAGTAGGCTTAACGTGTAATAAGCCTAGTCTGTGCTCGTTACATTATAAAGAATAAAGTAGGCTTAACGTGTAATAAGCCTAGTCTGTGCTCGTTACATTATAAAGTATAAAGTAGGCTTAACGTGTAATAAGCCTAGTCTGTGCTCGTTACATTATAAAGAATAAAGTAGGCTTAACGTGTAATAAACCTAGTCTGTGCTCGTTACATTATAAAGAATAAAGTAGGCTTAACGTGTAATAAGCCTAGTCTGTGCTCGTTACATTATAAGCCTATGTTGCGCCTGTTACTTCGGTTCCGAAGATGCGTATGCAATGTCTAGAAATTTGGTAGGAAAGCTTCTTAAACACGAATAAACAGTTTTGTTAATATTATTTCCGGACACTATTTACACAGACCTTACCCTTTCTTCATAGAACTATGAACTATTTCCAACTATTTTATTCTATCTACTGCAACACGCTACTTTACATCATGAGAAATGTGTTTCTAAAGATGCATGATCCACTGTTTAACAAAGACTTTTAGAGAATGTGTTGAAAACATGAACAACAACCAAGTTTCTATCATGCTTGAATAAAGCAGCTTTTATCATTTTTGAGCGAAACAATGTCACAAAATACTTGAGCTTGTCTATATGTTTATAACTTAATGGCATCACAGTAGACGCTTATAAGGTTTTATATAAGGCTCCTCCCCCATATATGTATATGTGTGTCTGTATTACTGTTATTAACATGACAATTGGCTCGACTCGCAATCTGAGGGTCGCGGGTTCGAATCCCCGTCACACCAAACATGCTCGCCCTTTCAGCCGTGGGGGCGTTATAATGTGACGGTCAATCCCACTATTCGTT